ATTTGCAATCTTTTAAGTTGTCTGTCAATCGTTATCTTGCTCAACGATCTTCATCGTTTCTCTTCCAGTAACTTCCAACACTAATTAGTGGTTGCTTGCAGCCTTGTTGGAAGCAAAGATAATTAAAAATATATATATATATATATATATATATATATATATATATATATAACATATATATATATAACATATATATATATATATATATATATATATATATATATATATATATATATATATATATATATATATATATATATTTATATATAACATATTTTAACATTTTTTAACATAAGGATTTCAGTACATATATTAACTGATCTAGGGAAAACATGCAAGAGTGTCAAGGAAGGAGGGGACAGGAACACTATTGTATTAATGTTGGATTTATTTTAGAGTTCTAACTAACAACAAAAGTTTTAACTGAAATAAGTCTTACTCAAAAAAATAAAAATATGAACAATGAAAGGAAAAGTTTACTGTATAAATTAACACAAAGAAGCTGCTGTTTCTCCTGAAGTACTCAATCAATAAGCTTCCAACTAACCATCAAAAAGGTATACGCAGTTTCTAAAAAGCTCTCATGTAGAAAAAATAAATATAACTTTTTAATAAACATACTAAAAAATATGACAAAAAAATATGAATATTATTAACAATGACTCTGTGCAATACAAATCTGATCAAATCTCTTCCACTTCTCAGTGTTTAAAGCTAATCTAAAATGAAGAATGCATTTTTGGTGGAGTTGTACACTTGTTGATTTAAAATATTTCAATATTTCAAATATTTCAGTCACATATTAATCAAGTTAATCAATATATAATATTTTTCAAGTAGTGTTTATTATCTGTTACACTAACAGTTTCTTGTACTACATTAATGTGAACACTGACTATTAACCAGAAGTGCTAGAAAAAGTGTTTGATATATGAATATTTTCTAAAGCCAACAAAAAAAGAAAAATTAGTTTAGATATGTTTCTTATAATGCAGAAAAAGAGATGCATTGTTTTAATTACTACAATTAAAAAAAAGAGGCTTAATTAGGCTGTAACATTAACTGCAAGCTAATATCAACTGATTATGCATCTGCAATAATAATATAATTCAAACATTATTGTGAACAATATTTCCAACAAATATAGATGTTCAAGGACATTACTCTCTTTAAAAATATCATCAACACTGATTATAACAAATTTACCAAATTAGTCATGAACGCAATCTGTTTTACTCCCATTAAATAGTATAATTCATCACTAACCTTTAATTGACCAATTGTCAGTACGGTTTTTTTGCTTGCTCATTAAAATGTTTCACTAGATGTACTACACAGGCAGCTTGAGTTATATTGATGAGGTAGCTTGAAAAGCTACCTCATCAATATAACTCAAGCCTTGAGGTAGGCATGGAAACTTTCCACACCTGCATAAAGATATGCAAATTACATTATGTCAGTTTTCAAATCAATCCTTGCTCAATCTAATTTTCTGTGTAGATGTTATTTCCTGTCTTAAGGTTAAGGCAGAGCTCTTTGCAGAAAACTTCTCCACTAATTCAACTTTTGAATCTTTAACTTTTCCTAGAAATTTCAGTTGAACAGGCTAACCTATTGTTAGACATTCAAATAACTTTACCTTTCATTGTCAAAATTATATCTTAATTAAATTCTCCTACGACTTGTAGCCCAGATATATTTTCTGTAATTATCTTACAGAAATGTTTTCTAAAACTTTCTTTGTTTCTCTATATTATTGTTTAAGTGCTTGACTGAATCTTGTTTCTGCGTTCTGGAAAATTCTCTATTAATAGCAAGATCTTTGAGTCTTTAATTAACAAATTTCTAACATCTTACCTCTTTGACTACCTCTCTGACAATCAATACATATTTTGATCTTCTTATTCAAGGGCTGACTTGCTATCTGCTGCAAAAACATTCCTAGCAACTGAAAGATTCTTATAAGCATTAGATGGAAGCAGCATGACAAGGGCTCTTTACATATTAAAAGCTTTGGCAAGTTGGTCTTTTTATATGGTGCATCTAGGAATGTTTTTGAAATTATTAAATCGTTTCTTTCTATCCACAGTATTAAAGTCATCTTTGAAGGCTTTTTGAAAATCTTCATTTGTAGCTATTTGTGAGGTACAGCAATGTTTTATTGTTTAATTTCAAGATTGACAGCCTGTTTCTAAACTACATTAATGATCTTTTAAAAATCTTACATCTAAAGTAGCAACTCGATTTAATTATTAAAATAAAAATTGACTGGCAACTCAACTTTATATGTCTGTCTTGACAAAAAGTCTTCTCTTTTTAATCGCTTAGAACAGGCTGTCAATCTTGAAATTGATCTCACTTTTGTAACAGATTGGGGCTCACAGTGGCTTGTAAATTTTAACTCCAACAAAACTCAGTTATTTACTGCAAACAATTTTCGCAGTACTGTTGGCATTCCTATACTAATGAATAGTACCCCTCTCACTGAGTCCTCTTTTTATCTCTTTTTTAATTATTGTTCACTACTGATCTTTCATTGAAACAATATATACAACCAATTGCTAAATTAGCACTTGCTAAGGTTGCTTCTGTTTATCATGCTAGTCATTTTCTTACCTCTGATTTCATTCTTTTCCTCTACAAATCTCTTATTGGTCATAAATATGACAACAGTATTCCTGTATTGAATACTGTTGTCATATTTAGGCTAGTTCTTCTAATCAAGCTCTTTCTCTTCCAGACAAAGTCCAAAAATGCATTCTAATTATAGTTGGAATTATAGTTGCATCAAAAAAAGTCCAAAAATGCATTGTAATTATAGTTGTAATTACAGTTGCATCTCTTGCTCAAAGAAGCTATCTTCTTTAGTTCCACCAGCTAAAACTCATTCTCACTTGACTCATCATTCAGCAAAGTCTCATTCTCAGAAACTCTCATACTCAGAAACTCTCCCATCTTCACGTTTTTCTGACTCATACAACCTACAGGTTTTCAAGTCTTTTGTCAACTGTTTTTTTGCCCTAATTTCTTAACTCTATAACTTCTTTTTTTTTCTTCTAGTATCTCCCAACTCAATAGTGGTTGCTTGCAGCTTTGTTGGGAGTGAATTAGAATTTAAAAAAAAAACAACCTATAATTTGGTCTCTACAAATACAATTATGGTCTCTGCTTAAAGGGGCATCATCATCTTACAAATCTCATTCTCGATTGACTTTTCAGTCAGCAAAAAATTCACTGTATCTGTCCTTTCATGTTGTCTTTTCAGTCGGCAAATTTTTTTACTGTATCTGTCCTTTCATGCTCTAAAAACTTTGATTTACCTAATTTTTATCTACGCACCTCAATACTTTGAAATTTTTACCCATCATTATGTTTTCCTGATCTTTATGCTAATTTTTAAATGTTCTTTCATTTTATTATATAGAACACATATATGAATGTGATGCACACTTTTTAAATATAAAAGTGTGCATAGTGTACACACATGTAAAATATATGTATGTATATAGTAGAAACTAAATAAGATATATTTCAATTACATAACTAGAAGTTTCACATGATAGCAATCATCAGATGTAACAACAACAAAAAAGTAACGACAAGAATTATATACAAAAAATGGTATGGAGTGTCCGCTTTGATGACATTAAAGTTCTTTATTAGAAATTTATTTTTATTATTTATGTAGATCATTATTTCCACTGCTCATTATATCATTATTTCAACTACTCATATTATGACAATTTTAAACTTAACATCACTATCAGACCAAACTTAAAAATCGTAAATTTTCTTGATATCACATTTAACCTTTCTGAGAACTCTTTTAAACCTTGTAGAAAACCAAGAGATAATCCTTTATATATTAATATCAATTCTAATCATCCACCAAGCATTATTAAATCGATACTAAAAATGATCTCTAATCGCATCAGTAGTATATCTTCAAGCAAAGAAGCTTTTAATGAGCCACACCTTTTTATAATAACATTCTTAGTTCTTGTGGATTCAAAGATAAGATCAATTTCATTCCAAATATCCAGAAATATAATACAAAATCTCAAAAAAGAAACATTATCTGGTTTAACCCACCTTATTCACTCAACGTCAGAACAAACACAGCAAAAATATTTTTGAATGCAATTTTTGATAAATGTTTCCCTAAAGGCCACCCTATGCCCACTCAATGGGCATAAGGTGGTTTGTCTTCAAAAATCTTATTTATATTTGAAATGTAAAAACTCACCAAGAAAAAGAAGGATATTATTACATTGGGCTTACTGAGAATACTTTCAAAGAGAATACTTTCAAACTTGGTGGTAAATTTTGCAATTTAAGCTTGACAGAAAAATAAAACATTATTACATCACCATTAAATTTGCTTAACAAAAGAACCGAGCATGTGTCAAGCAATGTCGCTATGAAAATTAATTTCTAATAAAGAACTTTAATGTCATCAAAGCAGACACTACATACCATTTTTTGAATATAATTTTTGTCATTACTTTTTTGTTGTTGTAGAAATTTCACGCAATAGCAATCTGATGATTGCTATTGCGTGAAACTTCTAGTTATGTAATTTAAATATATCTTAACAATTACTTAGTTTTCAGTATATTATTTGCTCTACCAATTAAATAACACAATGTATTAAGCACTTTTACTGGAATTATTAACACAATTCCTACAATATACATATATATACACATATATATATATATATATATACACATATATATATATATATATACACATATATATATATATATATATACACATATATATATATACACACACATATATATATATATATATATATATATATATATATATATATATATATATATATATATATATATATATATATATATATATATATATATATATATATATATGTATGTATGTATGCATGTATGCATGTATGTATATGTATACATATACAAAATCCAACAAGATTATATATTTCAACATACTAAAAAATTAAAAAAAAAAAAACTTAC